GGGGGGGGGGGGGAAGTGCAAAAAGATAAACATAGAGTGTATAGTGTTACTCCTAGTTCATTGTATTTTTATTTTTTTTAACACGAGTGCACACACACTCAAATGCATAATTGTACACACGCACACGACGCGTGTATCTTTATATTTACATGCGATATTAATAATACAACAAATGTGAGATATTTTAACAGTTTTCTGACGTAAAATAATAAAAGTCAGCTACACAGAAACTTACACATAACGCAATCGTCCGCTGAACTCTGTACCATACTTGCGAAAAATGCATATATTTTTTGTTCAAACGTAACGTCTTTCCATATTTTGTTACTTAAGCATTCACATTTTACTATATAAACAAAATACCACATATATTTATTACGTAATCACATATATGTATATGTATATACTTGTTCTGTTGTTTCTTTGATATTTTATTGTATCGTTTATTTTTTGCATTGAGAATCTGTTTGTTTTTTCTTGAAGATAACATATACTATTGTCCAAAATTGATTATTCATATCCGTGACCTTCAATAATCTAAATTTCATTTATAATGCATAATAGAGGTAATTATTATGAATGTAATTAACACGTTTCGATGCGAATTTACTTCGTCGCAGATTTCGAGCTTCTGGAAGTAATTTCAGGAGTCTCGCAATCACATGGCACATATATTGATTTATAGATTCTTAATGTCAAACGTTAACTGCACAGCTCACGCATCGATTGATAATGATAACGTGTTTAAATACATATTAACAACATTCTCTCGATTTCAATGATAAAATGCATAATTGCATGAGATAGATCCTCTTGTATGTAATAGCTATTTTTACTCATTATATGCTTTTATCGTTCTAAAGTAATGTACATGTAATATACATGCGATTAAATCACCAAATATAAAAGCACCCACAAATTAAGATAACAAGAATAAAATATTGTGCAAACTAATACTTCACATGATCATTCGTTTCACTATAAAAATGTAGATCTGAGCCTTGCACGGTATTTCGATGTGGGCACACATATAGATATACACACACTGTAATATTTTAAAATTATAAATTTTTTAATTTAATTATGTTATACATAATGTAAAAATCAAGAAAAACCAAATGATTTATTGGTGTCTTGTTATCACCGTTTTACAGGGCAACAAGAAAATAAGCTCACATTCTGATAAATAGCAACAAATACACAATTATGATGTACAACACAAATTGTGTTTTTACAACGTTCGGTTGTAGCATACTTTGTGCGGCAGTATAAGAAATCTAACATCCGAAATATATGTAAATTCTGGAATGTTCATGTATTCGTTATGAGTATTTGTTAATTATTAGATTTGCTTAAATCACATAATTAATGACGAGTCATCACAAAAATAATCTTTTTTTTATAAAAATAATCATCATAAAAAACTTATTAAGTGACTATATAAAAATAAATGTATATCAGGAGAACAAACATGTTGTAACTACAAAGTGCAATATCTCTTATTCTGTCCAAACAATATCTAAATAAAACATAAATATAGATATTATTAATCACATGATATGCTCTGTCTCTCCTCTCTTGACTGAGATATACATTTGCCCTTTTATGTATCTCCTAGTAAGGCGCACAAAAAATAAAACATAAACTTAACAAAATGCAATGTATATCTATATAAGTTGCCAATTATATTGCCTCCCATGCATGAAAGCCTAGGAAGAGTGCTTATATTTTAGCTCAAAGAAACAATTAAGCGAGAATTTATTAAAAAGTTTGGAAAGTCCTATGTCGTCGTGTCGCCTTCCTCTTGTTCGAGTCTGGAAGAGCCGCAAACACGACATTTACAGCATACGATGCAAGGTGCTGCTAATAACAATAAGGGCGATGCGACAAGTAGAAGTAGGCCAAAACCAGCGAAGATTCCGATAACTTGCGTTCGATGCCATATCACGGACGCACGTGAATGTCCCAATTTATTCTTACATGGTCCCTTGTCGTAGTGTCGCAACAGAAAATCATCCTACGCATAATAATTTAAAAATTAATTTGCGTCTTATGTCAAGCATTCTCGTATATAAAGCAACAGTGTTACAAGGTTTGGAACGTTTTAATCGCATACTTCCTTTACCGCTTCGAATACTCACATCTAAGGATGCTAAGCAGTACCAGCAAAACACGTGTTTACATCTTTTGCACATCATTTGAGCACAACCTTCGTCCTTTTCTATCGGCACAGAACACATAGGACAACATTTAATGTGATCGCTACTGAACGGTATTCCTAGTGGAAGATCTGAACAGGGCCCGTTGTGCCAAGGCTCGCGACATATTGAACAGAAATCTGTGGAGCAATTGGGACAGTGAACAGGGCCTAAAGGAGAGCCGCTTCCACTGTTGCCATTTATTGAACATATTGTTTCACAACCCGCTCGTGGACACCATGCACGTCCTTTATCCATCGACACATCTGCATACAAAATTATATTGATTGTATTAAAGTATTTAGTACAGCGTCGATCATCTTGTGTGAACGACTACACTTTTACATCTAACTGAATAGATTAAGAATCTATATTGCCTACCTCTATTTAAACGAAACTTGCAATGCTTCTCCACAAGTTCTGTATTGACAAGGCTTGATATCTCCTTCAAAGATAATATAGCGCCATGATCACACTGAGCATCAGGACAACTAATCTCGTACGCGCCTTCCTCAATCTCAAATTCTACATAGGCATGCATGCACTAAAAGTCATCAAAAAATAAAATAAGTATCTCTCTAATATACATCCTTCCTAAATGGACAACGATCTAAAACCTTAGGGGCTACGTACAATAAAAAGAACAGAGAACAGAATAAGAATTTCAACCTATCAGAAACTGTGTATTCCATAATACACAATTTCTGATAGGTTGAAATTCTTATTCTGTTCTCTGTTTCTTGTCCCTTTTGTGTGGAGCACACCTTAGACTTACATCTTTACAATAGGAACAACCGCATCCCTCAATCTTAAATGTTTTGGAGAGAGAAGTGTCAACAAGACACAGTTTACAAAATATCCGTCCGATTGTCTGCTGTGAGCTTGCAGGAACGAAATTGCCAGCAGCCAGGCTGTAACGCGAACTGGACGCCAAGGACAGCAGGCTGGAGCAGCGGGAGCAAACTCTGCTGCGATTTATGGGTCTTCCTTCGAGTGCCGAGGTGCTCAATCCTACGGCGGTCTCACATTTCCTCAAGGCGCCAGGACCCAGGTTTATCCAACTGCCGCCGCGTGCTTCCAGACTTGCGCTACTCTCAGGACGCAGGAGAGGCGCGTCTGCTTCTCTACCTGGCACCGCCCTCTCTGTTAGGGAGAGATTCACCACACTGGCCTCCTTGCGTATCAGGGGTAATCTGATGCCACTGAGCTTGGCCTTCTCGATCTTTTTCTGGCTAGCTGCTAGCTTAGTGGGAGGAGTGACAGACGTGACCGAACTGGTCGCTGCGCCCATGTCCATCAGTGGTGCCCGTCGTAAGACGAGCGAGTGTAGACTAGGCATCCCCTGGATGTCACTGCCAGTTACAGACGACGAGGAGGCCTGCGTTCGCTGATCCCCGCTTGGGGGACTGTTTCCTTCCGCGTCCGTCGTCGTTGTTCGCTCGCCGTTGATAGTAAGGGAACGCATGAACCCGGATAATCATATGTACATGGCAGACTCGCACGGTTTACCGTGGTGTAGCTGTGCAAATGTCGATGGACTCTTACGCTGCTCGTCATAATCCCCGCAGTTCGAGCGTCACGTACTGCACAGACTCTACGTGCTGCGCGTCAAACTTCTGAAACGGCACCGTCGTTGAACTATCGTCTCATTTCCAAGTGTCGTAACGGCTTTTCACATCAGCACTGTTTGATGTTACATTTAGTATTCCGAGATTCGGTGTCCGTCCGCTGATCTCACTACGATGTATGGAACATCCACAACAGCTGATCGTTCTCAGTGTCTCGAGGTAGAGGGAGACAGATAGAAAGAGAAAGACAGAAAGAAGGGCGGGAGGGGGGAAGGAGGGAGGGAGGGAGGGAAAAAAAGAGAGAGAGAGAGAGAGAGAGAGAGCGCTTGCGAGGTAGCCGTCGGCGTGGAGTAAAACCGGAGTAAACGCGCTGCCTGGTGAACGTGCCGAGCGACGTGATAACCGTGATGTGCGCCCGAAACACGACGACGCGGATGACGGTCGCGCTGCCGCACGTCGTAACCAGCGCTTCTCTTCTTCGCCAACGGTCGTTGCTAATGATCCGTCACCGTCATCGTCGCCGTCGTTTTCACTGCATGTATACGAAACGCGTCTCACTCCGCCGTCTCTGCCGTGTCACCTATGTTAGCGCGCCACGGTCTTCGCCAACATAATTCTCACCTTTCACCGTTGCGTACACTACTGTACATGACCAGTGTTGTTAAGCTGGAAACACAATAGACACAGGCAATAGGCACAGGCAACAGGGAATAACGAGCCGTCCAATCAGA